GCTGAAACTTCAGCAAGGACAGTGTAACAGAAACCTGTACTGCTATAAATATAGCAAAAAGAGTCAGTTATAACAACTAGGAAAACTTTGCCATATACCACTTGGATTTAATACTGAGATACAGCTGCAGACTTAAAAATGAAGTGCATTAGTGTAAAGGTAAGAAAGGTAATTACTGATAATTTCTAAGACTTAAAACACACAAAGACATGTTTCGAGTTGGAGGTCCTTTCTTACTTTATATTATTTCAGGGCAGTTATTTTGTCTTATCAGCAAAAGGTGGAAGAGTTAGATTTAAAATGCTGTTAAGTTTGTTATTCACTATAAAAACAAAAGTTGATGTTTGCTGGGAAGGCTAGAACGAAGTCTCTTGATACAGAGTAGATATCTGAGTTCTTGTTTAATTTCCTTGTTTTCTGGCTAGTATTAAATAATATCCTTTGTCAGTCATTTCTTCCTGCTGTCATTGCAGGTTTTCTCTGAGATAGCCAGTCTGCCAAAGCACACAAGGTTAAAATGATACTTAGGAATGATAGATAAGAGGAAGGAGGAGGGAGAGAGAAAAACCCTTAATATTGTTCCAAAAATTTTGTTTGTGCAATACCACAGATTGCTAAATGATACTGCAAGTACAACATCAGGCTGTATTGTTTTAACAAGAGATCTCATATCTTTAGTAATAATAGATTATGAAAATATACAAAAAAAGGACAAACAATTACATGTTTGCAACTTTTTACTTTGACCATGGAAAACACACTGTTCATTCACTGTTGTAGTCAGCTGCATTGCCTTTGTGTTCCCATGCATTTGCATGGAAATGTGAAATAAAAACCTGAATTTTCTCTGGGTTAAACAAACTTCCCTAGCTTAGTGGGAAGCATTACTTGCTGAAATGATTCCCACTTCCTTGATTCTGATAAAGCAGATTAATTCTATTTCTAGGCTAGTGTTTTGCCACATCTATGATATATTTGTGTTACATGGAATAATCCAGATTTACTATAGTTCTGGTTGTTACTATTTGAGAAGCTGATGCTGATTATATGTAGAACAAGTGATTCATTGTCCTTTTTTTTCAGGTAGCAATTACACATTCAATGTGGTCTTGAAAATATTGCTAGGAAGACACATATATTGTGGTGTTCATTGCAACCCAAAATAGGAGTTGCAATAAATATAGTTCTTAA